TTTCCCACATGTAACAATTGTTTCCTGTTCTCTTACCTCCTAGAACAATGTCACCGGTTTCATCAAATGCTTTGCAATCTTCTTTAGTGAAAGTAACTTCTAGACCTTCGTCACACAACTGACTCACACTAATAAGATTAGCCTTTAATCCACGAACAAGATAGACATTCATCAGCTGAGGTAGCTCTACATCACTAGTTTTTCCTTTACTTTGTATATCTCCATGACCTCCATCACCAAAAGTTACTTTTCCTCCTTTGATTTTCTTGATGTCTTGTAAGTAATCTTTTGTGTCTGTCATGTGGCGAGAACACCCACTATCAAAGTACCAAGGACTCTTTTTCTCGCATTCCTCTGTGACTAACGCCATGTTGCATCTAAAAACAAGTCCTGCTCTTCTTCCTGTATCTCTCTCTGCAGTTCTTCTGACTAGTGTTGGATATAGATCAATTTTCTTTACCCAGATTTGATGTTTATACCCATTCCATGTAAACTTCCTTTGATACCTGAGTTTTCCCACTTTCTCCAGTACTTGTAACAATGAATCTTTATGTGCCCAATCTTTCCACAGAAATAGCATCCGATGCCTTTTAAAACACTTTTTCTTGATTCATCTTGTGCATGATGAGATATTCCTCCAGACACAAACTTGGTTTGACCTGTGCTTGTTTCACCATGACCAGTGTACCCTAGTCCTCTGTTTGTTTTTTCTGTCCTTCCATAGCTTAGAATCTGATCTAGTTGTTTTGTTCCAACAAACATGTGAATTTTCCGATGTTGTTGATTAAGTTCTGTTTGTAGTCCTGCAGATATCTTCCTTTCAGCGATCAGTTCTTTCTCCAAATTATCAGCTTTAGCAGACAAGCTTAGTTTTTCTTTCATCAAACTCAAACTTTCTTTGCTAATCTTCTTTTCATCTTCTAGTTGATTCTGTAATAGTTCAACAAGTGATTCGAGACGTATCTTTTCTTTCAGTAAATCTTGATTTTCTGTTCCAAGTTTAATCAAAGTTTCTCTCACCTCTTTGTAACTTTCAACAAAATTCACTTGTTGTTCTCCATCTGATTCAGAGTCAGTTTCTTCTTCACCTTCAACAAACTCAGTAATGCCTATCAATGCTACATAATTTAAGATGTCTTCTTCTTCACTCTCTTCCTCAGATTCTTCTTCAATACCAATCATTGATTTCTCTTTTCGACTACTGATACAGTCATCTTGAGCATGTCCCATTCCTTTGCATGTTGTGCATTTAGTTTCTCGTTTCTTGACTGTTGGACATTCACGAATAAAGTGTCCATACCCTTTACATTCATGACATTGCATGTTAGCTTTCTTTGATGGTTTGGTGTCGTCAGAATTCTTTTTGAATGATCCAAACTTCTTCTGTCCTTGTCCTTGTTCTGCTCTTTTTAACAATCGATCAAACCTTCGAACTAACAAACTCAAAGAATCTTCTTCTTCTGTTTGAGATTTGCTTTCACAAGATGTCAACGCCAACCCTTTTGGTTTCTTAGTTCCTCCTAATTCAAGCTCATGAGCCTGAAGCATCCCTACAACTTCAGCAAAACTGAGAGTATCAGTATTATTCGAAACTGTTAGAGCTGTTTTATACGCCATAAATCTCGGAGGTAGACATCTTAAAAATTTCTTAACCAACTTCTTGTCTTTATACTTCTTCCCAAGAGTTAAAGCTTCTTGCGCCAATGAACTTAGTTTAGAGCTGAAATCGGAGATTGAATCTTGCTCATCCATCTTCAGATTCTCGAATCTTGAAGCTATCAAATCTTTTCTTGAAGTCTGAACCTTGATCGTTCCCTCATAGTGTGTTTGCAGAATATCCCAAGCTTCCTTAGCAGTTTCACAGCCCTGAATTAAGTCAAATTGTTTCCTCCCAACACTGCAGTGAATAGCTGTGAGAGCTCTAGCATTGAATTTAGACTTTTTCTTCTCATCTTCAGTCCAGTTTGACTCGGGTTTGGCTGTGAAGCTTCCATCTTCATTCTTAATTTGTGGTTCTTTCCATTCTTCCAAGACAGCTTTCCAAGCTAACACATCTATCCCTCTTATCACAGATTTGATTCTTGACTTCCAAAAACCATAGTTACAATCGTCTAGAACAACCTTCGCGTTTTTAAGCAGTTCTTGATAGCTCTCCATCTTTTCCACAAGACCTCACCTGTATGTAATCTTCACAAGCGACTTCTCTGATACCAATTGTAAATGCAAGAGCTACTAAGTTTTGAATTAGTTCACGATGTAACTCAGAATTTCTTAAAAAACTCTTTCGATTAATAGAAAATATGTTTACAAGGTTTCTCCTTTAACACTATTTTCTATTCTCTCTAAGTCTTGTTCCTTAATCACAGACCGATTAAGAACAATAACTCTCCTTAAAACCCTTAGCTCTCTTTAAGCCTCTAGTTCACTATTTCTCTCAAACTAAGACTTAATAGCTAGGAATTCTCTCTCGTGATTGTGCTAAGCTTTCTACAAGCCTTAGCACCCTATTTATACTAAATAGGTTGAGACCATACAACAGGTCGATTTCCAATTCTAAAACTAATTGGAATGGACAATTTCCTTTTTCTTTATGGAATAGGAAATTGTCCTTTGTCTTCATGTTTTCCTTTTCTTCTTGCAAAAGGAAACTCTTCAGTCTTCTAGAATCTTCTCTAAGCTTCTAGTCTTCACTTCAAACCGCCATAACAAGATTCTGCATATTTCCTTAATCTTGTTCATGTTGCTCTGTTCTCTTGAGTTACTTCTTGACTTAGTTCAGATACTCCTTCAGAAGCTGCATCTTCAACCTCTTGAAGTTTTGGAACGTATTAACGACAACGCATATCGCCTTCGCCTTCCTTCTGACATCAACACTTCTGATGTGTTTAATGTTCGATACTTGTCTCCATTTGTTCCTCCTGAAGTCCTGCCAGATTCGGGGTCGAATCCTTCTCACCATGGGAGTCCTGATGCAGCAGCATCGTGATAGCTTTGGCGACAAACCAAACGTAGCCGTTTGGTTACATTTCTTTATCCTATTTTCCTTTAAGTGTTTTGGCTATTTTCCTTTTTCTTGTTACTTAAGAAAGACTTCTTAGGGTGTTTAAGTCTTTTTAATTACTTCTCCTACGTCGGTTGTGACCTAGGTTTAGAAGCTATATAAGCATTCTTTTGGTTAAGGTTTTCGCAGCTTTTGATAAACTAATAAAAGAGAGTTTTCTCATTCCTTATGTTGATTTGATTCAATTCATCAAAACAAGAAGTCGGTCTCAAGTGATTGCTTCCAATCGCTTGATTGAGCGAAGTAGGTCTCAAGAGAAATCCTTATTCTCTTGATTGAGCTACCTATCTAAGTCCTTACGCTGCGCCAATCGTGCTATTTATATTGTTTATCCTTATTATGTTAGAGGTATGGATAAGCTAATTCTTTTTTTCCATGTTGTTAAATGTTTTGTTATATGAAAACAAAAAATGTTTAATAATAATGTAAAATATATGAAAATTGTAAGCAAGTTTCGTCTTCGGAATAAAAATTTATAATAGTAAAATATGTAGAAAATTATATTTCGGTCAAAATTTTCGGGATCTTTTTATACGATTAACTTTTTTGTTTGTGCGAGAACTCGGAAATAACCAAAAGTTCATTAATAATTCTACACTAGGTCTGAAGTTTGATTTCCAGAAAACATAGTTTCTTGCAGATTAATGGTGCAAACTTATCGGAGGGCCAGAGTGCCTCATGTAGAACCGTTCGTAGTGGTCGTACATACAAAACCGTCCGTTGAGGATCCGAGTGTTGCGGAAAGAACTGCACCGTGAAATTGTTGTTCGTAAGAGATGTTCATCATAATCACGTATGCTACCGGTAATTGAATATTTCTAGTGATGATGTAATAAGACGACCAAAAAAACTCGGAAACAACCGGCGAGAATAAGATAAGTGATTAGACCACTGATGAATGGTATTTCGGTATGTCCCTTTAACCATCTTCCCGAAGTTGTTTGCCCCTCACGTCAACACGGTCATAGATTTGTCCTCTTAAAAACTCAAGTTTAATGGGACCAGAACAGAGCATTTTGACATCGGCTAAATTGGTTTCGATGAGTGTTTGACCTTTGCTTTTATATACACATGCGTTTAGCCACACTTCGTTTTTTTTTAATAGCATCGCTTGTTTAGTTATTTTTGTTTTTGTAGTGTAAATCAAGAAGGCTTAAAAAAGCAAAAAGATGTTTGTTCTCACTTCATTGATTCTCACAAGACGCAACTAAACGCATTCCCAATCAAAACATTCATTGTAGTGTTTGCGTTTTGGCCCATTGCTACACAAAAACTGGTAACCTTTGGCATTTTCAAGCTGAATCCAACTACTTAAGAACCAAAAATAGAGAAGATAAAATTCAAGAATCTCATGTGTTTGTATGAACATGCTTATCAAGAAACGCCTTAGCCAAGTTACTAAAGCTTACACTGACTGATTCAGCCGCTGCATACCTCTCGATGAGATCCACCACTTCTGCTTTCAAAATCTCCTCTCTTGTTGCTCTGTTATAGTCACACATGTAGTACAAAGCCCCAAGCGCGTAGTTCACCTATTAGAAAACAAAACCGATTAAACACCAGAGGAACATTAATGAGACGAGAAACCCGTGTAGTCACAATGTTCCGGACAGGGTTTGATAAACATTTGATTATAAAAGGAATTCATTTTAAACACCAGAGGAACATTACTGAGGCGAATACTCACAGTGTTCCGTACAGGACTTGATAAACATTTGATTATAAAAGGAATTCCATCAACCTCGACAATGGTAGCAACATTTTTTGGCTCTGCACAATAACAGGAAAGAGCACAAGTTTGGTGGATGATCAGTAATTGCAATTATGGCAAAAACAAAAATAGTTTAGCATCAGAGTTAATTCGTATCCTCCAGGTTTTTTACCAGCACAGGCGTTGCACAATCCTCCTATCCCAAATTCTACAAGCTTCTCATTTGGCTCTGTTATACAGTCTACGAATAGTTCCAAGACATTTAGCTGCTCAAATACACCATTGACATTACATCATTAGAAGAAGAAAGTAGGGGAATTTTGTGTTCTCCATGGCAAATGATAGAACATGAGCATGCTCAAGGTTACCTGACGTAAAATAGTGTAGTTATAAGGGTCATACGCAAAATTCGCCAAGTTTGCTACAATTCTCTCCTTTGTTTCTACAGGTGCAAGACCGTAATGGTATTAATGGTATTGATATTTAAGTAACAAACCAGAGTTATATTAGGTTAGGCTTGCTAAACTTATAGCCAAATAGAAGCATTTGAAACTGATGACAGCAATTTACCTTAAGGCAGGCAGGAGCAAGGATAATCTACAGAACTCAAATTTATTAAAATAAAACTTCACATACTATGAAGACTATGATCATACATCCCATCATAGTTGATTGAACTGAGATATAATGTACCGATAAAGTAATGTTTACGCGTAGGCGTAGCATATCTTCTCATTTAAACTAATCCATCTTATACTTGAGTTCCCTAACATTCCATATGAAACCACACACAGTCCTTAAAATCATACTGCAAATCAATCAGCAATGCCAGTCTTATGCAACAATACTTTCTAAATGTTGTTCAGACAAGAAGCATGAATCTACTACATACCTTCATCAGTTGCATTTTGAAACTGACTCACTAGCTCCTGCAAATTCAAAAAGAATACAAACTCAGCTCCAACAATAATGCTTCTTAGATTCCCAGAGGTTAAAAAAAAAAAAAAAAAAAAAAAAGATTATTGAAAAGACCTGAAGATATTGAAGCCTAGGTGTTCCATGTTTTCCAGTACGTTCTTCTTGTCTTTGATTATTTGTAAACATTTTCTGACTTACTCTATCCAACAACAACACTCTTCTCTTCTGCAATTTTCAATCCCAAAATCGGAGAAAACAAATTCAGATGCCAACTATCAATTCAACTACAGAATCGAAAAGTGACGACGAATAGTGTCTTGTATGAGAGGAGCCGAGTAAGTGAAGGAGATCTACACGGCGAGGAACGACGAAGAACGGCGACGCATAGAATCCAGAAACCAAGCAATGCTCAGAGAAAACTCATTTAGTTCTGTCCTACACATAAAATGGCATAAACATGAGCAGCTTATCATAGTAGCTAACATGAGCAGCCTATCATAGTTACAAAAGACTGACTGGTTCTTAAAAGTTTTGTAGTTTACATGATTAGACCAAGAGGCAATTATGTGAAGCTTTTATCAAAAACAAACCAATTCTGTGAGGCATTTCATCAAACACGTGGTTGGCATCAACAATTTCAAGCTCTAAACTCGTCAGTTGTTAATTCATAAACCTAGTAATAGCAACAAAGCAGCACTTCTAATCATTCAAATTGGAACTAATTTCAAAATCAGAAGCAGTATTATTTAAACGAGTGAAATATGGACAAACCCACAAGCTGAAATATGAACAAAACTCAATGCTAAGATTGTTTCAGAAATTCACCTGGGACCAAAAAGGATAAACACCAACACGATGATGATGATTGTTCCTCATACAACGGAGCTCCGGTTCGCGACAAGTCCCGATGATGAGTCCAACCATCGGATGGCGATTCTGAAGCCGTAACAGAGAGAAGACAAAAAGAGATTTAATTTTTCCCCAAAATTGAATAGCCCTAGTTTTTAATGAAACTGGGCCAACCAATTGTCCGTATGGGCTAGCCCATTATGTCCATCGACAAAATTGGTCTTTAGACCAGATGACCCATTTTATCTATGTGCTGACCACGGACCGTCCATAATATTTTGGACTGGGCTTAGCCCATGGTCGGATGACCATTTGACAGTTCTAGATGCGAGGAATGGCAAATTTGTTGACCCATAACGTTTATAACAAAACTGGGCCTTCTAAAACTGGCCCAATATATCTCAAAAACAAATACTTTTTTGGCGAGAAAAGGTTTTTCCGATCCAAACAATTTAAGCCGAAGCAAGCCTTGGGTCCAAAAACAGGTTACTTGGTTTCTTGGTTTGAGGATTTTTAAAAAGAAAATGAATTGAGAACAGCTAAAGGAGTCAAAACATAACGATTACGTTATAGTCAGGTTTCAATTCACATACAGATATATTTCTTCAATACGTTTAAATTACGATTGAAAACCCTCACATTTCTGGCTTAAGCAAATAACTACCCATTAGATAGGAGATTAAATAATATAATACAGAATTGTTATTTAAATTCACCAAATAGTCGGTTAAGTCCATACAGTTGTGGTCTAGTGGTAAGAGAGAATTGGGGATAGGTTGGAAGAAAATAACTCAGGTTCGATCAACCCTAAAAACAAAAATCACATTTGTGTGGAAAGTCTGGGCTTGGGCTTTGGCCCAAACAATTCACATGGTATCTGAGATTAGGCTACTTGGATACCTTCAGGCATTAGTCGGAAAGTATTCCAAACTCGGGGTTAGGCGGTGTGGTAGTCCAACACCTAGGTGTTTGCGACGAGTCTACATGGTAGCACTTCGGTGCGTTCCCCCCCCCCCCCGGAGCTGACCGGATCAGCCTATCGGGTATATAAAAAAAAACATAGGCGGTTAATGATGAAAAAGTATGTATAGTTTTGCAAGAAACTATTTACTAGAAAATGATCAAGCGCTGCGTGGGTTTAGCAATATATTAGTATGTTTTAGATATTATTTTGTAATCAAACTTTAAAGTGTTTACTCTATTTTTTTTATTACAATTCATAGTCTAGAAGTTTATGATAGTATTGTCGATGTGTCACTACTATTTACGTATAAACTTTCACTATGCATGCTATTATCAAAAATGTGTTTAGTTTTCAGTAAATGAGATTAATTGCATAATTCAATGTCTAACTACAATTAAAAAAATTATACATTAAAATATTATATTTTTGTTTTTAACAACACTTATACATCCAACACTAAACAATGTGATTTCATCTTCTTCAATAATAGTGTCTACGTGACTTCAGATCACTCTTTCGTTTTTTTTGTTATTTTGAGATGTAACCTCAACTATTCCAGTAAATATTTCTGCTGATTTTTTTGGGTTAAAAACATTTGCTTCACATGACGAAATCTCAAACGTCTTTTTTTATTATTATATTATAGAATTATAGTTTTACTTGAGATTTCATATAACATATCACTTTTTTTAACAGGCTTACATATCAATTTTTGTATATTTTATTGTACAACTCATGAATAATATGAATTGATTATTATTTGTGTTAGAAAATAGATTATATTATTTTTAGTTTTCAAGATTTTTTTAATTAATTTCATAAAGTGTGACCTAACAATGTCTATCTATGTCCCTCGAAACATTCTTTCTCTTAAAATATTAACTCTCCCTTCTCTCTAAAAAGAAAACTCGCAGCCGCCGCCTAGGGTTACCAGTTCCGGTGGCTTTTTCAACACCGAAATCGGGGTCTTGTTTCTTTCATTCTCTCGTTTCGTTTTTATTTTTCCGGCACATCTGAGTCCTGTTTTTTTCCAACGGTATTAGATCTAGAATTACAGATCTAGATATATAAAGTCTAAATCTATTTATCTTCGGGTTCTTGCTGCTTGTTTTTGTCTCCCACAAGTTTAGCTTCAGATCTGGCTGATCCGTCCATGGCAGAGGCAGTCTCTAACTGCTCCTTCACTGCCTGAAACTTCACCATCGAAGATCTCGATCTCCTTCCTTTCTTCAAGAGACTTTCATTCCTTCGGATCTCTAGGTCTTGGATTTGTCTCACAGCCTTTGTGGCTCCTCTCCGGAGCAATGTAAAGAATATCGCAAGGCTTTTTCATCCGGGTTTAATTAGTGGTAAGGTGAGTCTTGTAATTGGTTCTGTTTGTGTGGGTTTTTAATCTCAAATCTGTTAATTTTATCATTGATGTAGGCTTTGTATGTTTATTTTTGATTGGTTATGAGTCCTGAAAGTATTCGAATGGATGTTATGTAATTGTTTGTTTGGGTTTTTTCCTTTTTGTTTCATCTTAGTTTGGTCTTTGTCTCTGGGAGTCTTCATAAACTCGCTGGCTCAGTCTCTAGAAGGGTTGTTTCCCTTGCCGGCTCTTGTATTCCAACCTTGAATTCTATCAATGAAATCCATATTTCTAGTGAAAAAAACAAACAATGTCTATCTTAAATTAAAATTGGTGAGTTTAGTAATATTTTAATTTTTAAGTGAACATTTAAGTAATGACCCACTTTTAAACAAAATCTCTTAATAAGAAATTATCACTTTTAAACAAAAGATAGTGTTGTTTACAGTGGCGGATATAAAAACATATCTAGTATGGGGCACAATATATTTAACGTATAAATTTTTGGGAATCTACAATCGATGACCATAGACGACTCCGTATTTAACTGACACAATTTTACACTGTTCGGGAAGGTTCTGTAGCAAAATAATGACTTGTTAACCCCTACCCGCCTATCAGATTGTAAGAGAGAGACATGAAGAACGAGTAGGCGTGTGTTAGAATAGAGAGATTTCATATCTCTTGAAAAAATGTGATTTCCGAGATTTCTTTTGGGAACAGTTGCATTAATAATCATGAGAACGGTTCGAATTGTTCGAAGAGTTGCGTTTGTGTGTGTCTATTTCTACTGCATTTTTTTGCCTCTTAGTATTCTTAGTGTTCGTTCTCTCTGTTCTCTCTGCGGTTTATTTTTTATCTCTCCGATAGTCAAATCGATTTTCCGATTGAAGCGCTTCATTTTCGATTAATTCGTCCAAGTAAGTATCTCATTAAAATGAGATTTTGTTCATTTCTTATGGACCCTTCCATATTTTTTTCTTATCAAATTCTAAATTTTTCTGGGTTTTGTAGATGGAGGACCTTGACCTCCCGCACCGTCTAATCGCCTCCGGTGAAGAACCGCTTGGGGAGAGGGTTAATGTGTACAATAAGATGAAAATTCTTAATGGTATTATCGACTCGCTTGATGCTACTGAAATCAATCTTATCCGAGATTCTCCACTCGGCGGGTTGTTGGATTTCTTAAACAAACCAGCTTGGCCGGCCAGTTTCGGTCTTTATCTGCTTGGTCGCCAGTTGGACATAGCCAAAGCCAACGAGATCTAGGTTGTTTATGCTGGTACCCCAGTTCGATTTTCTCTTCGTGAGTTTCACCTGGTAACCGGACTTGCTTGTGGGCGATATCCTGATGTCCCGAAGAAAAAAAGGAAGGGGACTGCTGGCAAAGAGATTCCGTTTTATAGCACATTATTTGGGCTGGAGTCCGATGTTACTGTGGAACGTGTTATCACTATGCTTAAGAAGAAAGTTACTGATGATCCGTCATTGCGTATTCGTTATGCTGTTCTTGCGCTTGTTGATGGATATCTCCTGCCAACATCCCATCATCCCAAAATTATTAAAGAGCACGCTGAGATGTCGGAAAACCTGACTTCTTTTCTCACTTATCTGTGGGGTCGATTGAATTTTGAGATGATGATGAATTCGATTAAAGAAAGAGAACTTGAACAGCTTGCAACTACTTCTGTAGCTGTGCAAGGCCTATTATATGCCCTACAGCTTGTTGTTCTTCAAGCCGCTCCCGCTATTCAAGAAGGTCCTGTGTCCGAGGAGACAGTCGGTTCTGAGTCTGATGAAGATACTATTGAACTGACTCCTCGTCAGGTAGTTCCGTAAGCTGGGTAACGCCAAAGTTTAGACACGAAGTGCCAGGTGATAATCGTTTTAATACCTGTTAAATTCTTTCTTACCTGATACTCAAATAATTATATCGTTTTATCTGTTAACTGCAGTTTTCCCTTCATAATTGTTTAAGGATTTTGTTTACTTTTCAGACTCACGTTGATCCTATCATCCATCCCGGAGTTCTTCTTGATCCTGCAGAAGATGTTTCGTGGTCAGATGACGAAGTAGATCCGCGGGTAGACACTATGGTAAAGTTGGCGGAGGAATGATTCAAGTTCAATAATGATATGTTTCCTGGTGGGTGCATCCCATCTGAAGTTGTTGTAGCCCCCAAAAAACAAAAAAGAACTGCAAGTTTGAAAGGTGGTCGTGTCAGGAAATCTTCAAAGCAGGGCAGAATCCCAAAAAATCCAACCGGGATTCGAAGGACTCAGCAATCTGTGCATAATGATGAAGAATCTGTTGGTTTGGTTGATATGAACGCGTTATCTTGGATGTTAGATGCTAAATTGAATGCGCAGTACAAAAAGATCATTAAAGGTGTTTCTGATTGGTTTATTGCAAACACTTTGATTTCTGCGGAGAATAGGGAAGATGTTCTTGCTGAGAATGGTAAAGAAGTTTCTGCGGAGAAGAGGAAAGGAAAAAAGCTTCTTGTTCCCCAGTCTAATCCTCTCCACATTTCCGTTGGAGACGATGATTTTGACACTCTCTTTCCCCTCCGTCCGCCGAGTCGTCGTTCTTCTCGCATTGGCAAAGCTGCCCATCGCGTCCCCCAAGCGCCCGATGAGGGATTGGGACTCATCAATTCTGTTGAAGGGATAGCTTCTTATTATAACCGCTTTGTATCTGGCGATTGCAGTGGGTCAAGGTCAGGAGATGGTCTAGCGAGTCATGTTGATGTTGAAGAAAATGATTTGGTTAATTGTCAGGTTAGTAGCTAAATTAATTGTTATCTGTTTTGCCTCGTATCTCTAATAACGTATATGTCCTACCATGTTGCCTATATATGATCTGACTTTACATTTTATTTTCTAATCCGGTTAGTAGTTTTCCTATATCATTCGAAAATGTTAATTTCTATGTTATCCCCTAATTATTATCGAAATTATTCTCCCTGCAGTCATTAAAGGAAGGTAGCAAAGTGTCCATCAAAGATGGTAACAATGGTAACACCGCGGTAAACAACAATGATGATAACTTGGAGGTTAGTGTCCTTTAATATAGCCATCTTCACGTCTCTAATATTATTGTTACCGTATGTAATTTATATTTTTTTTGGATATAATGCCAATATATATTAGATATAATGTTTTATAATATATACCTATCTGTTGCAGGGTGATCATGCGATCGGAGATCCGGTGGATAATGTGCGGGTTAGACGTTAACGTTTAATTTTTTTTATTATTATATTATTCTTTGTTTTTGTTTTAAATTTCTTGGAAATTTATTAGTTGTTTGTACTCAAATTGTGACCATAATTTCGTTATGTTTTTTTCCTTTGGTTTAGGCACTGGAAGAGATTACCGCATCAGTCGGAAACCAACAGGTTAGCCGTTAACATTGAGATGTTATTGTTAACGTTGTGAGGTCATTCGAGTTAATTTATATATTTCTTTCAGGCAACCCAGGAGGTCGACAGTGAGTCTGCCACTGTTGTTTCTTCTGAGGTTTGAAGAATTTTCAATTTTTTTAATCATTATTGCTTAGTTATCTTACTTTTATTGTTGATGGGTTTCATTGTTAGTCCGGTGTTAGCGTCAATTACGACTCTTCTAGAGTCGATGAAGATGTTTTCGAATTTTCCACTCTAGTAAGTTCACTAGGTAACTTTAATAATATTTTCATTACCTAATAATTACATGTTACAGGACACGGAAATGGGAGATGTTGCCGATAAGGAAGCAGCACACACTGAAGGAGATGATGAAGAGGTCTTTAAAAATATTCCCCAATCTTCTTTCGGAGGTAATATGATTACAAAAACCATAACTTTATTGTTATCTAGACAGGAGTTAGCAATTGAAGATATTGCCCCCAAGGATAGTGAACTTATTCAAGTTCAATATCCCTTCTTTTTTAAAATGACATATCATATCTTATCCCTCAATCCTTTAGTTAATTTACTAATCAACTAGTTATTTGTCAATAGGATTCCCAAACTGAAGCCATAGGTCACGAGGTCTGTAATAAATATCCATAACTATTTTACCATGTTATAAAATTATTTTGCACATAACTTTGATGTTATCTGTTACAGGAATTATCAAGTCGAGATGCTTCCCCAAAACACAGGAAACCTATTCAGGTACAAATTTCCTTTTATTAAGAAATGAAATATCATATCTTATCCAGTATACCTTTTATTAGTTTTCTAATCAACTAGTTATCTGTCAATAGGATTCCCTAATTGAAGATAAAGGGGAGGAGGTCTGTAATAAAAATCTCTTACTATTTGACCATGCTATATTATTATTTAGCACATAACCTTATTGTTATCGGTTATAGGAATTACAATGTTTAGATGCTTCCCCAAAAGACAGGGAACTTATTCAGGTATAATGACTATTTTTCGACTCTCACATCTTACCCATTAATCATTAGATTAGTTAACTAATCAATTAGTTATCTGTTAATAGGACTCCCAAACCGAAGCTAAAGGGGATGAAGAGGTTTGTTGAAAATCTCTGTAAGTATTTTCTATTGTTACATAATTACTTATTTCATAACTTTATTCTTATCGGGTATAGAAACAATCAAGTGGAGATGCTCTTCCAAAAGACAGGGAACCTATTAAGGTATAATGTCTCTCTCATTTTCGACTCTCATATCTTACCCAGTTAACCTTTTATTAGGAACTAATCAATTAATTATCTGTTAATAGGATTCTCAAACTGAAGGCGATAATGAAGGAGATGAAGAGGTCTGTTAAAAATCCTCTAACTATTCTTACCTTGTTATATAATTATTTATTACATAACTATATTTATAGTTTACTAATCAATTATTTATCGGTTAATAGGATGTCATTATGAGGCCTGTCTAAATATTCAACTATATCATGTCCTGGAGTTTATGAATTTTATTTAACTAATATTTTTATTATCTGCTGCAGGTGGGAGGGAGTAAATATATTGCACCCAAGGATTGTGAACTTACTCAGGTTAAATGTCTCCTTTTTTCCTAATGACATATATACCCCATTTTAAAAAGTCATTGTTTTCTAATCTATCAGTTATCGGTTAATAGGGTCCCCCGAATGAAAATGCTCCAGAGATGGCAATTGACCCTCTTCAGGTTTGAAAAATCTCTTCCTCATTATCTATTTCTTAGTCATTATCTTTATTAGGTTTATATCATTAGCATTTTGATTCCTTTTTGCTTTTCAGGATCCCCCTGTTCTTGTGGTTGCCCCAATTTCTGTTTGTGAGTCAAACAAAGTTTTGGTCCCAGAGAAGGTTTGTTCCTTTTATTGCATTTCCAATCATGCATTTTTTCAAAATGGCAGTTTCATTTTGTTATCTTATGCAGGGAGATGTTCCCTCTCAGACTAGTGTTGTTGGTAACAATGGAGGAAGACGGAGTAAAAGGCTTAGAACGAGATCTACCAAGTTAGATGGTCGGTTTCAGTTTGATAAGAAAACGAAGCTTTTGGTAGGACACCCTTCTCCCATCGCCAATACTAGTGGATGCTTAGATCCCGAAGAGCGTTTTAACCGTTCCTTGAAAAAACTGAAAGCGATAAGGTTTTTCTTATCTTTCTTTTTCTTACTGGCATTTGTTATGTCAGATAGATAATTTCTTTATTTGTTAATAATTTTGTTACCGATTTTGCAGCTCTATTTCTTTAGGCCCCGATGTTTCTATTAGCAGCAAGGATGTCCTTGAGTTAATTGAGAGGAAAAAACCTTTGGCGAACAAGGTTATCTGATATATAACAATATTGTTACGGGTTAACTTGAGTAGTTATCCGATAATCATTTTAATGGATTCCTATATTGTAGGTCATGGACGCCCTGTTAAAATTCAGCAGGCACATTCTCCGTACACACGAGGTGGATTGCGGAAAACTTCATGTTGATGTGCTTGATACCAAGTTTATCTCTCAATTGTGCCGCCTATATCCTAAGTTCACCAAAGCCCCTGTTCCTCAAGATTTCCAGTTTCCTACAGCCTTGGTTGATGTTGTTGCTGGTGTTGGGGAGCTGGACCGTGCTGAGCTGTTTACTGAAGTTGACTACCTTTATCTGCCATTCAACTTTGACAAAAAACATTGGGTTTCCTTATGTGTTGATCTTAATTGCGCCAAGATTACTGTTCTCGATTCTAATGTTCATTTGCGTACGGATGCTAGCATCAAGGCGGATATCGAGCCTCTCTCTAAAATGCTTCCTATTCTCTTCAGACAGGCGGCATCTAATCCAATAATGAGCCAGCTCTTACCTACTCCATTTTCAGTTGAAAGGTCTCTTTGCATCCCGTAGGTTACCTCTCATGTTGATGTCGGCTTGATGATTATCTTTCTCATTCATGCGCATGCTGCTGGTGGTATGGATGATTGTGCTGAATTTCTTCCCGAATTCATCGAAGCTGAAACCAAAAAACTTGTCTCTGCTATCATTCTCGCTGCTGTCCCGTAGTTCTCCCCTTGTTTTGTTTTAGTATGTACTATGTTCTTTTCATATAATATTTCCCATGTTCTATTCCATATTTGTTAGTACTCTCTATTGTCCTTTATATTGAACTTACTTCGTTTCGGATCATTATTATTATCCTTTTATTTCTATTAAATTTGGCTTTTTTGTCATCAACAACTATAAACTAATATAGTTAATGTATTTGTTACAGACATAACCTATTAATTACATATATGTGTTTGTTTATTAGGAGAGATAACATTTAACAGAAAGGAATGTTTTATCGGAGCAAACCATTTGTTACTTATATTTATATGAATAAGAGATGAAGTCAGAACAAGTGATTCGTTCTGTTTTTTAAGAAGTTTCGAAATACCCAATTAATTACGTATATATGTTAGTCTAATTACAGAACAAATTATAGGTTCTATAAAATTACTAATGATAGTTACCTAACATGTTAGTCAGATAACTTTAAAACATTCTTATCTGTGTTTCATTCGATTCTTGTACTTCTAAAGAAACATCTAAATATGTAATATGTTCCCCACGTAACTTCTTGCTTAGACACTAACTTTATATTTGTTCATTCTTTAAAAGTTCTAAATCTTAACAAGGCACATCCAAGTAACTTCTTGATTAACCGATAACTTTAGATTGTTCATTCTTTTAGCGTCTAAATCTTAACTTAACAAGACAGATCCACATACAAAAACAGATCACAAAACCTTTCGACAAAGCCACGCCATTGAAACCACCACAACCACGAGTACAGAAACTGATTTCATGCTCGCCTTCTCCGTACTCTCCTTTGGTACCTTCAGCTTTTGCTCAATTATCTCATTCTTCATCTTGTTCATCTCTCTTTCCATCTCCTTCACCATCTTATTTTGAAGCTCTACATTCTCCATGACCATCTTCTTTAAATCATTGACGTCTTCTAGGAGTTGGTTGTGCTTGCTTTCAACCATTCTAATCTCCTCTAGAAGAGCATCATCAACCCAAATGAATGGGTGTTTTTCCTTTTTATCCTAAAAAAAGCCCCAAATCGAAAGCTTAAATTACTGATCAAAATAAATTTTCATAAATTTAAAAAACCAATTCATTACCAGAACGCCCCTAACGCATCTGTAGAATCTTCGATACGGGTTTTCATCTGTCTTCGAAGTGAAGGTAGTTATCTCGTCACCACACCAGCATCTACTCGGAACACCTCTGCGAGTAGTTCTCGAAGTGAGTTGAGATGAACCAGAAGTAGAAAATTGACTCATAACTTGATTGTTTCAGAGAGAAACAAAACGAAGCAGAAGCGAGTGAAGAAGAACCGGAGAGGAAGCTGCACAATAGTGAAGCAGAAGAGACTCTGAAGTGTCCTTGGAGAGAGGTAGGTAACCCTAATTTTGTTAGTTTCCCCAAATCGATTTTAATAACGAGAGGTGAAATGGAACCCTCGGTTTCAACAAGAGAGGTTAAATTCGATTTATGTACCTCTAAAGAAACATCCAAATTAGTTATATGTTTACTACGTAACTTCTTTCTTAACAACTAACTTACTTTGTTCATTATTTTAAAGGATTATTTGTATTATTTATTATTAGTAGTTTATCTGTTTATACATTTTGGTAACTCAGTAATAATAACAATATCATTTGTTTTAGACTTCATACAAGGGTATCTCACAAAGTTATATAACCAATGTGTTATCTTGATTGATGGTGAGAATCTGTACCCACCTATTCCCTCAAAATTCTATAGATCTTGCATTAATTTGTTTCTTATCCTCTAAATCAGATGGCTATGGTCTAAACAAACTCTTATCGCAGTAATTTGTTTCGTATATCAGTTGTTTTTTTAGGTTCCCCAATATTTTTCTTTATACCAAATTCGTAATAAATATGTTATCATTTGATCAATGGTAGCTCGATAACATTCTTCTTACGCGTAGTCCCAACTTCCCATACAATGCCAACAGATTTATTAGATAATTAAACATTAACTGGCTTTCATTAAATAATTAAACAGCAACCGACGGATGGGTATTTTCTTCAATAATTATACATATTAGGCCACTAGAATCCGCATTCTATACATCAAAATCATTCTACTGGCATCATCAGCTTTATTTATTTAACATTCCGTCGAGCTATTTTAGTTTGCCCAACGTCTTCCATCCGTTCTTCTTTCCCAAAAAACTAGCTTCCCCTGCTTTCTACGGCTCCTGTGTGTTATCACAATTTTCGGTAACAAGGTTTTCTTAAGTTTTTTTATTTTAAAAATATAATTTAAATTTGTTACCGTCATTGGTCCCCTGCACATTGCTCGATTGTGGCCCAGTGAACGGCAGCGTGTGCAGCGCTTACCCGACGTTCTCTGAAACATAACTCATCAGGAAAATATTAGATATCCCGATAACAAAATTTTTACCATTATTTAAATAGCAAATAAATATTAAGTTACCTTGAATTCTCCCCGAGAAAATAGTCTCCTTTTTCTTGGCCGCCTTGGTGGCCGTCTAACATATGGTGGCGCTAGCTTCCCTCCTCCGATATCATTTGGTGATGGTGCTAGTGTTGCCATATCTGGGACGGGCATAATCATTTCTTTGTATGCTGACCGTAATTGTGGAACTGTGTGGTGGACTCCAACCATGGTGTCAACTCTTATCCCTTCTCTGATTGCGGCAGCTATTGCATGGGAACATGGTATAGTAAGAAGCTGAAACTGTCTGCAGGTGCATGTTCTTTCCCACAGATTTACGGCGTACCCGCAGTCCACCATACCTCTCACCTCATATAGCCCATCCCCTATTTTCAACACTCCAAATCCTGCCCCCTTTTCAAAGTTCTCTATCACCATATCATTTACCTTTGGAGGCAATATGTTTTCTTCCATACGAGCTGCTTCCCTCCGTAGAGCAAACCACGTAACCAAAGTTGTTCTCCAAGATTCGAGGATCGAGATCACCGGATAGTCTCTTGCCATTGTCAACACATTGTTTAACGATTCTGCGATGTTGCTTGTCATCACGTTATATCTTTCCCCAACAAAATGAGATCGGGTCCAATGCTCAAACCCTATTCTGGTGAGGTAGTCAGCACATGGCCCGTTCATTGCTCGAATCTCCGCAAAGATTTTGTTGAAATCACATAGGCGGTAGGCCCTGGCTGCGCTCGACACTAGACTTCCTAGGGCTTCGTTTTTGAAGATTGCGATTATATTTCTTTTCAAATGAACCACACAAGCCGCGTGGGATGCCATTGGATACACCTGTCAACATATTTAACGGACCTCTATAACATTAGCATATCTCATTTCTAGTTTGCTTAGTATTTATTTTTGCATTAAAAACTTATGTATTTAGATATCTCTTATTTTTTTATTTTATCTTATTTGGTAACCCCTCATATATTAAATAAAAATGTTATTATCAGATAACCCATATCCATTTATATTTCCTGTACTGTATTTGTTTCAACATTTCATTTTCACAATTATTCATTAAATATAAACAAAGTTCTTATACGTTAAAGACTGATATTGTGGTAAATAATATGTTATCTACCAATGTTTACCTTCCTAATACTTGCATAGATGGAAGCGTGCATGTCTGAGACGAACACTAGGTCTGGTTCGTCTGGGACAACTTCAGTTAGCTTCGTCATGAACCAGGTCCACGCCTCGTCGTTTTCACTATTAACAATTCCAAATGCGAGTGGAAAAACTTGGAAATTCGCATCTTGGGCGCTTGCAGCTACTAGACAACCTCCATAACTGACTCTCAAGTGAGTTCCATCGATGACAATAACTTTTCTCATGTAAGCATACCCCTTGATTGATGCGTGTAGAGCAAAGAATAGATACTTAAACCTGGTAACTCCCAAGTTATCTGTCTCGGTTTCTAGCTCAGTAATAGAGTTTGGATTTGTTGCCATTAGGAGTTTGAAGTATGGTTGGATTAATGCAAAACTCCCCATAGCCGAGCCCATAGCATTTTCCATTGCAATCTCTCTTGCTCTCCACGCTTTCCAGTAAGAAACATTGAGACTGAATTCTTGCCTCAGCATTCTCCGCAACTCATTAGGCCTAGGTCCTCTTACAACCCCAACGTACCGTGTCCTCATCAGCTTCCCTATAACTGTTGTTGATGCTTTCTTGTGGAAGTCGCCTCTGGCGTCCACGCTGCAGGTGTGCTGCAGTATTGCCGTCCTCACTTCAAACCGCTCACTGTCTTCTAATTTTGTCGCATAAACCCGCCACGGGCATGTGGTCCCGACGCAAACAGCTATCACCATTGTTGGACAAGATTTAGCATGTATAAAGTGGAACTTTCGTCGGATTGCATGAATAGCTAGTTTTGTGCAGCAGTCATCCTTGTTTTTGAACAACCTTCCCACGAAAATGTCATCCCCTTCATAATCAGCATCTTTAAGCGCTCGTTGAAGGTAATCTGTCAATGTTATCCACACACCATCATTAGCGTGTTATAAAAAAACTTATCACGATATATAAATATTAGCCCAATAACAATATTATTATCCCTTGTTTACCTTCTTCTCCCGGGTCATCGAAATACGGAGGTGCATCCCGATCATACAACACTGTCGGGACTGGCATCTCCCTTACCACCATTTGTCTGTCTCCCTCCGGAACCTCTTTCCCTTGAGTTGAACCAGATCCCTTTTCCATTACCGGCGTACCTACTGTTATCCCCCCAGCTATGGGAACTCTTGGAGTCAAACACAATGGTCCATCCGGGTCTGTGTAATAGTCCTCCATTGCTGATGGACCTGGCAAATGATAGCATATAATCACCATCTCTTCATTTGAATCTTATCCATATTCAATACTAGTTTTCAGATAACTCACCTATTACGCCGGTAGGAGATAGGTTTCCTATCTCTGCATCCATTAGCTCCTCGGTTGAGAACGAAATACTGGTTGAAGGGGAAGTCGGTGTGTCGAATGACGAGTCTGATGACGATAACGTTAAGATTGTTCGTTGGTTTGTTGCCATGGATACGCCAGAAAGGGTGAGTCGTAGGCTTTCGTCTTCAGCAGGGGTTTGTTGTGACAATGTTACCCCGAAATTCAATTCTCTCGCTGTCTTGGTTACCTCGTTGGCCAGAATTGTCCCACCTTGCTGTCCTCCTAGAGTCATCTCTGTAGCACACACATCCCGCCACATTTCTGCGACATAGTTTCTTCTAAAAGCCTCAAAATCCGTTTCTATAGAGGTTTGCGCTGCCTCAAACATTTCTTTACATGCTAATCCATTAGCGTGAGTTTTTGTAATTCTGCTGCATCGGTAACATGTCCTTTGCCTTTCTCGCTTGCTGTTGCTTTTCGTTTCTCTCTGTTATCGGCATGCCTGGGTACTGCTGTTCTTATAGGTGTTGCGTTTAACGGCTCATGTATCCTTACCCCCCAGCCAGGTTTATTCTTCTTTGTCCGTCAATCGTTTCGTTTCCTTGTTGCTGGAGTTCGCTGGTACTACGCTTGTCCACGCCTGCATGTCGCGTTAACAACCGGGTCAACGCACTATCCCAAACTGACCTAGTTTCCGCGGAATTCCAGTACTTATCAGATATCTCCTCTGATGTCAATCCTCCCAGATCTAAATGGCTTTTGAAAGAATTAACATTCTTCTCCAGCCCTCCCCTTATCACCTTAACTCGCAGATGCACCTCTTCAAGATCAGCCCTTATCGCCATGAACAGCATCATATCTTCATCATTAAGGATGTGTATCGGGTCTGCTCGTTTCCAGTCGGGACCCATCATCCACTGCGGCCACTGATAACTTAGCTCGATTTCGTCTGTATCGCGAAGCGCCAATCTTTCCTTTACCGCATTAACAAGTTTATTATACCCATGTCTCCCTCAGCCGAACCGCCATCGTAAAACCTTCCAAAGCAGATACATGTTCGTAACAGCCTTCATCGTCTTTTCTCCACTCTCCTCTAACCAACCGCACCACCATAGCCATAACTTACCTACGGAAAAGAAGTAATAACCTTGTTAGCACCGACTATCATGATTTTTACCACATTAACAATTACGATGAGGAACGAGATTTGTTAGTAGACGACAGTTTTATACCTTATCGTATTTAATGATGCTATTTAATGCTTCCCAGAATCTTCCAATCTCTCCTCTGTTCTTCGTTACATTAACTTGTTATCTGAACTTTTATGGTGCTTGTGTGTTCTGGTCTTGGCAACGGCGCTAGTTCGGTAATAAATACATGAACCCATATGCTTGCTACTTCCACA